GGGCCCAAAAGGGAAAATTAGCCAATATTTCAAAAATCTTCTTCTCCAGACTCAGAGGTATTACAGTCATTTTCTCTGCATGGATGAAAACATCATCAGGGGCTTTATTTAAATTGTAAATTTCAGGACCCCCAAGCAATCCGTTCTCCCTTGGGGAGGGGGTAAAGTTTACTATAGTTTATATAAGGAAACAACACTTTTGGGTATATTTTGACAATTTTCTGTTGGAAATTATTCTTACTTCGTGAGAATCATCTTTGGTGGACGACAGTATCACATTGTAAACTTGGAATTCCTGCCCCATCCCCAGGGGTTAGAGCGGGCCCCCAAAGGGAACATTTACAAATATTTTAAAATTCCTATTCTTTGATGACATGACAAGTATTGTATTTCACTAAGTTTACATGCTAATTTCCACATCACATTTAAACAATAAAATAAAGCTACCAGTACCTATGATATAACTCAGGTGACCGCTAAGGCCCTTGGGCCTCTTATTATTTTTTTCTGATGGAAAACAGCCTGTTGTATTCCACTTTGTGATCGAAGGCAACAACTTCAATAATTCTGGAATAGACCTTTTTCCAGACACCATTTAAAAATAAGTTGATTTGCTATATTTGCCAGTGTTGTTCAATTTGTTTACTCCATAGATGTGAAGGCAGTACCAGTCTTTGTTACAACATGTATGTAGTTCCTGTATAGTGATTGTTGTGTTGACTCCATAGATATGAAGACGATGCTATTCTTTGTTACAACTTGTTTCTAGTGCTTGTTCAGTGATCAATATGTTTACTCCATAGATGTGAAGGCGATGCCGTTCTTTGCTGAGGTGGACTGGAACAATCTGCTCGACATCACTCCTCCGTTTATACCACAGCCTGACGATGAACTGGACACCACTTACTTCCAAGGTAACAACACTATGTTATTGAGTTTGTGTGGTAACAGCCGACAGTGTCGAACCATCATACACTAGACCTGATGGGTAACAGCCAACAGTGTCGAACCATCATACACTAGACCCGATGGGTAACAGCCGACAGTGTCGGACCATCATACACTAGGCCTGATGGGTAACAGCCGACAGTGGTGAACCATCATACACTAGACCTGATGGGTACCAGCCGACAGTGTCGGACCATCATACACTAGGCCTGATGGGTAACAGCCGACAGTGTCGAACCATCATACACTAGACCCGATGGGTAACAGCTGACAGTGTCGGACCATCATACACTAGACCTGATGGGTAACAGCTGACAGTGTCGAACCATCATACACTACACCTGATGGGTAACAGTCGACAGTGTCGGACCATCATACACTAGACCTGATGGGTAACAGCCGACAGTGTCGAACCATCATACACTAGACCTGATGGGTAACAGCCCAGAATGATCACACTGATAATCAAAGAGGATTTTTTTATTGTCTCTTGTTAATTCATACCGGTCAAATGGGCCATGTGAGCTTAATTATGCCATGATGCAGAGTCCTTCTGACATAACCTTTTCATCAAATGGCTTCTTGTCAAGAGTTATTGAGGAATTTTGACCAAATTTGGCATGGAGCATCCATGGGCCAAAAGAATTAATTCTTGTTTATTGAAGGGTGTTTCCACTTTTCTTATGATTGAAATGGTACTCTTGTTGCCATGCACATACCTAGCAGAATCATATGTTATTTTAAACAATATTTGTTTTCATACAGCCAAGAATAGCATGCAGGAACTGCTGGTGTCTGGAGTGGACTTCGGGCTGTGATCCTTACAAGACCAACAAGTGATATCACCCAGGATGCTGGCATTCGGAGATGATGTACAAGGATTTCGGGACAAATTGGGCTTCAAAGATGCTGTTTCATAAAGGAAGTTTTCCAAGTGAAATGAAGAAATACCTGTGACCTTCCTTTGAAGCAGCAACATGACCTGTGCTTCAGCCAATCGGCAACATTATTGTAAGGAGTCTGTTAGTTGATGTTGAGGTCACCAGAATTTGACTGAAATTATTTACATTTCAGCATGGAGATTGTGATTTGATTTCGATTGGCTGATGTTCGATAAAAGAAAACTGTGATGTTTGATCACTGGGGTAACCTGGTAGATTTGTTTTATCTGTGATGTAATATTGTAACTATATATACTTGCTTGAAACGGGTATTTACGAAGTCATAGCGACTGCATTTTTCGAGTTACTGTATATGTATACACTATGCTTAACCATGTCACTAGATCAATATTGTTACTGTATTGTGGGAACATTGTAAAACCAAGCTTGCATAGTCAGGACATACAAGTGCATGATAGTTGACAGATTTTTTTTTCTTCTTTGGTGACAGTGTCTCACCAAACGCTCTTATTCTCATACAGATTAATGATATTAAAATGTCCACAGACAAGCAATATTTTCACAAGAAGCTATTCTGAAAGAAATAATTTCATATTTTAATTAATACCCCACAAATAAACAATTATTTGATGACCCCTTTTGTTAGGTGTACCATACCATTACTTGCTAATGTTTGTGGTCTAATCTGCACTTAATCAAACTGCTTCACATGCTACCCATCCTCGATACTCCAGCGATTACGCTCACTTTCGCTCTCTGCACCCCTGGAATATGTCATAGCAAAATTGAGGCACACGACTAGTTATTTGATTGGTGTCGGGTAAAAAACAACTGACCAATCGCTAGGCTGATACTTGTCCTTTGAAGATTACAGAGGAGCGACGCCCAACTTCAAAGTCAATAAGTTTTACCATTACGCGACCGCGTTCGGGGTCTTAGTGTGGGAGGAAACCGGAGTACCCGGAGAAAACCCACATGGTTGGGCAGGTTACCCCATACCTTTTTACGTCTGATTGGGGAATTGAACCCCAGCCGCCTTGGTGACAGGCAAGTACGCTATCCACTGCGCCACCCAATCATCCATAAGATGTACATCAAAGGATCAAACTAGTCTTCTCGTCTCATCCACAAGGCGCTGCACACTGAGCCTTCGATTTTGCTATGACATATTCCAGGGATGCAGAGATGGAAAGTGAGTGTAACCCCTGGAGTATGGAGGATGCATGCTACCTAATTACCTACCATCACACTGGTTAATATGCTTTCAGACCTGTGATGACACTCCTTCACCCTCCACTCCCCACCCCCCATCTAGCCCCAACAAACACACACTGCTACTGTTCAAGCACTGCTTCATTCACATACTTTATTCCAGTATTTCTGACATCTTCTGAATTTTAGCTTGTGACCCAAGAAATTAATCAACATGTCTGATTAATTCAATATTGTTAAATCGGGTGTGAACAATTTTGTAAGACTATTTGTATGTAGTGGTGTAACAGAGTATACCAAAGATGTTTATTATCACTAACAGATATAAACACAGTTCACAAGATTAGATGGACATTAAAAATAGATCTTATTAATCTGTACTCGCACAAATCAAGTAACATGAATGTTTGGATATGGGATTCAGTATTTTTTTTGCGGTATATCAAATCTAATATGGTACAATGCATTTGAGAAAACAAGGTTGCACTGTGACCAAATGTTTTCAGCTGGGCTATAGAATGCTTTAATTTATATAGATACTAGTCAATTTGCTTCATACATACTGCAAATCTTATTTATATTCCATTTATACAGAATTTGACGCGTTATCCTGTGGGTAGCTGTTAAGGTTGTTTCTACCACAATCTTCCCTGTTTATCAACCCCCAGGCCCTCCATTAATCAAAAGAGGTGTTAATTAAATAAAAGTGTTCACGAACTGTTTGATTTTTGATTTTGATTAAGGAACGAGGCAGTTTGAACATTGTGGCCATTTGACTCATCCTCCTCTACCAACATTCATAGTGTTATAACCGAAACTTATGTTTACAAGTGGTTAGCTTTAAAGCCACTCAGCATTGATTAAAACACAGTCAAACTTCAATGTTTCCAATTTTGTAGGGACTAATGAATGTTGAACTTCAAACATATTTGAAATAATTTATAATATACTGGATAAGGCCAAATAAGACTGAATGTAATTGCTAAGTGACAGAACACAAGGCTAGAAATTTAATTTGAAATCTATAAAATTGGTTTTAATGTTATTAGAAAAATATATTTGATGTACTTATGCATTGTAGTTTAATTTGCATGTTTAGGTGTTGAATGACTGGGACTAATGTTCTTTACAGATAATTGTTTTACATCGATTTATTACTTTTAATTTTCAATATTTTCCTAAAGACAAAAACAAAACCCTAAATATCAGTAGTGTTATATATAGAGGGGAAAATCTAGACTTTGTGGCAGTTTTGACACAATGAGAAATTTTAATCTTCAAAGTCGATTTATGGAAGTTTGAATGTATGTTAAATATTACAAAATTTTTCCGTTAAATCATTTAACAAAGTTAGTGCCTCAGACAAGTCTCTACTGGGCCTGAATTGTTGATAGTAAAATACAATGATGTTAATCCTTCAACAATGTCATGAAAAGATTGTGGTAGAAATTGCAATAGTTGTTTATCATGTTATTATAATAAACTCATTCACCCCTGAAATTTCATAATGAACTATTCCAACCTTTGAACTGGAAGAGTTCAAATGTGTCTTCAAGGGTGAATGAGTTAAATATAACTGGAAGTTTATTTTTAAATTCTAAAAAGAAATACTTGCTAAAGTTTGCTTGTTTTCATTTTTTTTAAATTCCAAATTTATCAAATTTGAGTTAGATAAGCATTGTTATCGACAGTTACTTACTGTGAAACCTCTGTATAACAACCTAGGGCTATTAATATCACTTCAGGGTGATAATAATCAAATTGTATTTGTCTATTTATAGACATATTCAGAAGAAAATGGCGATTCCTTTTACTGGTCGATGATTTTGGTTGTGATATTTATGATAACATAGTATAAGAATCAGGAAATATATCCTTCATTCAATCTATCTTTTTACTGCTGTAAACAGATTTTTGCTTTTATTAATGAATACTGCAAAAGTTTTTTATTTTTGAGCTCACTAGCTTTTGCGGGTTTGTTCAGGATAATTTTTTCACAGATTTTGTGTCTAAATACTATGGCACATATGATGTTAAGGTGAAGATGAATTGACCAGCTACTTCTGTTTTTGTTGGTTTTTTGTTTTTGAAAAATTGTTCCTGGAAAAATTTCGACTCTGTGAAAAAATAACTTAATAGTAGCTACAGTTTTCACCAGTTGAAGCTTTCCTTCTTTAACTCCTGAATGCATGAAGCATTATCGTAAAGTACCTATAAATACAGTGATTTATAATGTGTGACTTATAACTTGAGTGAGAGAACAGCTTTGGAGAGGAAAGATGGATAGACAAGGAAGAAATCATGGTTATTGTTCCTTTCACAAATTCAAATAATTGCAAATATGTTGTTGGAAAACAATAGTGAAATATTTGTAAAAAAATATCTGGTTTATGCAAATTAGATACAATGTACAATGATATAAATGCAGTATAGCCGAGGTATTCAGATTGGGTACAATATGTTGCCTAATACATGTATCATTTGTGAAGTTGAATTTGTTTTGAATACCCACATGTCTGTTATTTTTTTTTACAAAAGTTATTATTAGATAATGAGATCGACATTTCAGCATGAAATTGTATGAGATATTTCTGAACTGTTGTTATTAAAATATGGACACGAAAACCAATCAAATGATTTATGAGATCAAGATTGATTGACCATGTGACAATAAATTTTTAATTATAAAGATATCCCTAGTGTTGGTTTTTCTGTAATAGCAAAATAAGTCAATATAAAATATAAACTTTATTTATTTTACAACAATTGTGAAACAAGTAATTTCAACTTATATTGATTACTCTTGCTGGCCCGGATGTTAGGGGTCTTAACCCTTTCACCCCTCACTTTAGTAGACTATTCCATGCATTGATATGGATCAGTCCATTATGGTCTACAGTGGTGAAAGGGTTAATGTGGGAGGAAACCGGAGTACCCGAAGAAAACCCATGTGGTTGGCCAGGTGACCCCATACCTTTTTACGTCCGATCTGGGAATTGAACCCAGGCCACTTGGTGAAAGGCAAGTACGCTATCCACTGCGCCGACCGACCACCCATAAGAAGTAAGTGTGCTTTAGCAAAGTGAAAAGTTGACGCCAAGATTTCATTCGGTATCTTAATATGTGACAGTGTACATATCTGCTGCAAGCCCTTTCATGATAATCATTTCCAGAAAAAAATGCATTTATCAGACTATGAATACAATTGGATCAATTTAATTTTGAAGCTTCCCCTGCTTTGCATAATGCGAGACCAGCGCAGGCATTAAAATATTTAGATGACATTAAGCTACTCTGGGATTGTTTTTTTGCACTGACAGTACAGACACTTCAAAATCGAAAATAATAGGGTATTATTAATATTTAGATCATTTCAAATTGTATATTTAGAATGTAAAAGACAACATCAATGTCTTCATTTAAAATGGCGAATGAGAAGTTTTTGATAGTGTAGAAAAAATAGTAGAAGTTGTTTGATTTGAATAATCCTCCCGAGTCCTTTAATATTTAATGTAAATGATCTTGAGTGGTAGATGTATCATCAATTTTATTTATACCTCATTAGTCTTACAGGCTGATTCCGGTACTACATGCTATATCTCCTGGTAGAAGTGCCCCCATACAAAGTAGCACATTTGTTGTATGCAGAGATATCGCCCTTTGGAGAAATGTCATGTTTTTTCCCCCAAACAGAAATAAAAGCAACCTGACAGATGATACTCAACAAGATCTCAATTAATATGTTTCACAAACTTCCTATTAAAATATTACCATTGGTATAAGGTCCTACAAAGTTATGACATCTCCACATAAACTCACTTTAAGAGAAGGCAGTGTTCTCTTTGTAAGATGTCTCTTTAGTGCAAAAAACAATTCTTGCTTTGCCCTCCTGGAAATATTTCTGTGAGGGAAACAAACCTTCATATCTCCCTAATGGCTTGGCAAAAAATGTATGTTTTCCTTTAAAGAGTTATTTAATTGAACTTATCTTTCCTGCCAACTCTTTCTATCCACATCTCCCTAATATAAGACATCTCTAGATCTGGTAACCTTGTTGTCAGAGTAATGTGACTGGGTTTGAGTGTCACGCTACCATGTCCGGGTCATGGCATTTCAGTGAGATAGCACTTTAATTGGCCCTATCTTAGGGGACACCATCTTCATAATACCAGGTAAGTAAGTTCAGGAGGCAAGGTAGTCTAGTGGTAGAACACCGGGCCCTTGACCTAAGGGTTGCAAGTTTGAGTCACGGCATGGCACTGTGTTGTATCTTTGAACAAGATGCTTCACTTCGCTTGTTCCAGTCTACTCAGCTGTAAATGATTATATGGTTGGGCAGTGCTGGTATTATTGAAAGCTAGCTGTAAACGCCTGAATGGAAGCACCGGCTGTATACTCCCCAGGGAGTTGAGAAAGATATTGGCTGGTTGCAAAGGCCCTATAACCACGGATGATAATTTGTGAACCACTTTGACACGACCTACATCCTAGTTTGTGATAGAGCAGTATATAAGAACCTCAAATTATTGCTATTATTTTGCTGCCAAAGGACACAAAAACCCCAAATGAACTAGTTGATCTTGACTGACATAATATGAATTGTTTTCCTTTCAAATCTTGAATAACCAGATTATTATTTTCCCTGGACCCAGTGGATTTAACTTTACCTAAACAAAAACACAAAAAAAGGATCGACTATTTTGTTACAATTTATTTTTGTATATAAATATTGTTTAACAACTCGGAATGATCATAAAAATACATTGTGTTCTTGACATTGTACTGATACAATTAAATAACATCACAATTCCATTTACATGATAATCAGCAGCTACCGTTTGACTTGTTTACTTACTTCCCATTAAGTTTTTACCATATAGGTTGACAAATCTCAGGATAAATCTTGTATAATTCTGGGATCTCCAAATTGACCCACCTTACACCAGGAAGTTTATCCTATAGCTAGGATTCTTAATTTATCAATCTACTGCTCTTGCACTTCATAAGTAGAGTCATTTAAACTTACTTTGTAACCGGAGAAGTAAAATGAGAAAATCAGTTATGTAATAGTTTGATTACATCCAATATCATTATCATGATTTAAATATGTATATACAACAGCAGTTTGAGATATTCTTACAGGACAATCACATGCACTCTGACACACAGGACATATAGATCATTCTTCCCTATTAGATTAATAGAATCCTCTGGAAAGATTCTTAAGTTACCAAACACTCAGCTTCTGAACCCTCGGGGGAAGATTCTTAAGTTACCAAACACTCAGCTTCTGAACCCTCGGGGAAAGATTCTTAAGTTGCCAAACACAAGACTTTGCCCCTATCTTAACCCCCAGGGTGTTAATGATTCTTTTTCTCTTACCCTGTTCTCTGATTGTGTATCATATACACAATGCAATGGCTAAACTCGGGGTGGAGCTTGACGTGATTCGACGTCATTGTGTGGTCGATGTGATGTGATACCATTGTTATGAATAGGGGAATTCCCCCGTCTCAACCCTAGAGTGAGACAAGGACATCTCACACTGGTAAAAGTGTGGATACACCTGTCCAGGGTAAGAGAAAGATCATTCTTCCCTATTAGACAAAGATATCCAAACTTCCGGTCAGGGAAAGATTTTTCAACAAAAGCTAATCATGGAACATAACTCACTGGATTTGCTGGAAAGTATGCAATCAAGTTTGTTTCACAAAAACACTACTTTTACTGTTTTTTATTTCCCTACTTTGGAGTAAGAAAAATTTAAACCCTCGAGGTTATATTCTTAAACGTCTTGTCCTCAGCAAAACCTTGGGCTGGACATTTAAGAAATATACATGATTCTTGAGTTAAGATTTATCTGTCTTTAATACCCCCAAGGTGGGGAAAGAATATCTGTATTATTCTTACACACGAATGACAGATCATTCTTACACAGAGGACGAATAGATCATTGACAGATTCTCTCTCTTATACGATGATATACATGTATAAAGACATACCCAGGGTACTCACATGAAAAAAAACCCCATCCATAATTATTTGAAAAACATAATACTTTCTCAACGTATACCAGGTCTGTTAAAAATAAAATAGCAAAAATGTTGTGAAATGAAATCTTACAATAAACTTATCACTATCAAATATGCACTTGCTTTTGCAAAAATTATTCCAGAATCTTGGCTTCTCGAGGCTGCACAGTGACAGTTATTAATGAAAATGTCTTGATAAACAAAACTTTCTGATGGAGATTCTTATGCAAAGGAAATCAGTGAAAAATATTAAGTTATTGACCCACTCACTCACTCTCCAGAAATAAACTCCATAACTTACCAATAGGTATAAGAACATTTCTGCTCTATAAATCACAGACATTTTTAAAAAACTATTATTGTTAGTGTGTTGATGGTGTTACATGTACATTGTATCTGTTTTACAGAAATTAATTCATAACCCAGACACAACTAATTTGTATTATTGGCAAAATGCATTATTGCATCTAAATATGCCATAAATATCAACATTATATCATGTAAATTCATACTTTTAGTCAAAATTCAAGTTTCTGAAAATTTTACTTCAATTAGATTTACCATATTGCATAATATTTCCAAATGACCTATACTTTCAGATTCAATGTGAAATAATGTCTTAAAAGTTGGTTTTGAGATCTCAAGTTATTAGGTCTGGTTCATTTCCATGTAGCAGGAGAGGGGCGTCCACGTAAATCCTTGAATCCTCGTACTCCAGGTCCCGCTTTCTTGGAATCCTGGAGCACCTGATCCTGCTGAGCAAGTTCTTCGTCAAACCTAGAAAACAAGTAATTAACAGATTGGGATATATGGTCAGTAATACAATTTACTAAATTTGGACAAAATGAGGTTAAATTGTATCGATAAAGATATCTGAATACATGATAAGTGTCTCCATACATTGTATTTCATTTTTTCTTTAACATCAGCTCATCATCATTCCTGGATTATTTTTCATATTTTAAGAATGTGTACTTACAAAACATCAAAGTTTCCTAATGAATCTTTGGATGGTATTCTATTCCACCGCACACTGAAATGACATAACTCTTAATTAGAAATAAACAAACGCAGGGGTTTCTTGGTTTTAGAATACAAAATCATTTCTCTAAAATCAATTTTCAATCATTTTTAAAGTAAGATTTGTTAAAAACACAAAGCATTGGATATTTTCAATAATCTTGACCTTTGACCCAAGATTTAATAAACACTTATCTTTTCACAGTTAACTCTTGACAGTAAGAGTATCCCACCACTTTTCTACTATATATGTATACAGGCTTTGTAAAGTTTTTTCCTGTTAAATCTATGATATTTTCAGTAAGGATGATAATTATAGGTTACTACATGTAGTTAATTTTTTAGTGAGTGAACATTTTGAAATTATTCCCAAAACAAAATCTCTTATCAAGAACTCTTGGGTTAAAATCCACTTAGCCGAGATTTTATTGTGAAAAAAGGAAATAATCATGAATATATATCTTTTGTATTTAACTCTTTGCTAAATTAAAGGAGCATTAAGCAACACCAAACACGAAAAATGCGAAACAAATTGGAACTCTTCTGTGTGTTGGAGATACAACACAGAGCTCTGGGACTCTTTAAATAAGGAATGTCTTTTGAAGACAACTCAAAAACCTTTCTTGTGTTTCATTGGTACCATAATAATGATATGTAAGTTACACAAATAAGTCATTTCATTATAATGTGACCTGAAAACAATTCATATTGTTATGTATGATCTCTACTCTAATTTTCACAGTAAATTACTTACTCTGGCATCTGACCTGGCTGTATGACAATGTTTATGAGATCGTTCATCAGTTTGTATTTCATGATTCTGTCACTGGACGTCGTACTAGTCAGAGATGGGGAGGCATTCACCTAAAAATAAACAGGTTAACCCCATGTGACTACCACAAAATGTCATTTTGCATGCTACAAAAATAATGAAAATTATGATTATTCCATTAAAGACATATTTACCTAAGAAACTTCCACAAAAACCAATTACACGAATGTTTCGTTGGATGAGCAACCGTGATAATCAATATTCACAAAATTTAACTGATTCAGCGGACACGCGTACGAAGCAACCCAGGCCAATGGAGGTATCTGTTGAAGTGTAATATAATTTCCATTAGTTTTTGTCCTTGTTGACAATTTATGCGTTTTTGTGAATTAGGCTTGTATGGAAAACAACAAGTAAACTAACTGCAACAGGCTGCTTTTGGTCAATCCATGATTTTATTGCATCAACCAAAAACAAAAATTTTGACAGAGGATGTAGGTCAATATTGTTGCTCTTTGATTATACAATAAAATCATTGATCAACCTCATCAACATGCTATAATTGTATATGATAACATAATTATCACTAACATTAAATTACATAATAATGATAACAGTGATCAATCCAGCTTTCAAGTTTACTTCAACAACATTTATTTAGGAACTGGTCCATTTAAGTACTTGTAATGACAATTCTTATATATACGTAATTCTTGTAAAATGTGCAATGATGCATAAACGAATTAACACTAATCAAGCAGACAATTCTTCCCAAGCCTCCAGGCGGAGCTAACACTCTACCAAGCAATAAAACTATTACCCTGGAGACATTCCTTTATAATTTAAAGAAATATAAATGAATTTTTGAGACAAAAAGGAAAAGCGTATGTTGGCAATCCATAGTCCCTAACCTCCATATACACGTACAAACTTTTCTAAGCCATAAATCTGAATGCAGTGAGCACAAGACTTGATGTCATTGATATGCAACACTCTGCCATTCCAGAATGTACATACATGCAATATTTTGCAACTGTAGATAGCTACAGTATATGAAATATGCTCTCGACAAGGTGACACATGGTAAACAAAGTGCAATAACTCTACATAAACTGGGCACAACTTCCCATTCATCATTTAGCAACTGAAGGTTTGCAAAGACAATGTGACCAACTGATGGACAGAGTGCAAATCTACAGTCTCCTCTCCAATAGTACGGATGGGAGACTAATTAAGATCTGCTATATTTCTCTTTCTCTCACCTCAATTAGCCATGGCTTGAGATTGTCGTCAACAATGTAGTCATACCTGAAGTTTAAAAAAATACTGTATAATGATAGGTATAATTCCTTTTGATCTTACAGGTATTCATAGAAAATTCAATTCTTGATGACAACGTGTGTGTCATAAATAAATAAAATTATTTAAAAAGTTATTCATTCAATTTGTCGTATACATTACAGCTTATTGATTTCGATTCTTTTATTTTTTCCAAATATTCTTCCCTACAACTTTTTAAATTACTGTAAATATTATCTATAAATGCAAACATTTATCAATCAGTTAGGAACAAATATCAGCAATCTACATACCCGTAGCATTCAAAACAGTGGCGATCGTTGGATATCACATTCTGAAATGAATAATGGCATAAATACAGTACTGTATATATACGGACATATTTCAATATTAAAGGACCTTGGTATCCAGCTTCACACAAAAGGGAAAATGAAATATACATATTATTTGATGTGATAACTATCATTATCCTTTATTTTTATTTTCCTTTTTCTTTCTGATTCATATTCCAATTGAACATATTAGTCTGAATGCTTCTTAAAAATCTTCAAAATAACGTGTTTTTTTTACAAGATTTAAAAAAATAATGTTGCAATAGATTAACAGATAAAAAACCTAGCCCAAGTTTTCTCTGGCCCTGAAACCAGACTATGACATTTTGACAGATAGACGTCTGGTGATTTCACCTGTCAAAAAGTCTTAAGTCTGGTGTCAGGGCCAGAGGAAACTCGGGCTAAAGAAAACCTCTGGTTCTGCAATATTCCCACATTCTTCTCATGTGGTCAGGTATTGGAATACAGGTCTTTTCTTTCCCCCAAACAAAGAATTGTGAAGCCATTAATATAGGGTTATTTGGTAGGCAATGGTTAACCTAGCTAAGTTTGATTCAACCGTGGTTAACTTTGGGGGGGTCTAACCTGTTTGACCCTATGACCAATTTTTTTCAAAAGAAGTTAATTAAGATTTTCACAATTTTACACTTGTGAACTTGAAAGTGTGTATACTAGGTCATTCGTTTGAAAAAAAAAATGATATTGTCGAACCTGGTAATTTCTAGGACAATTATGAAGACTGCAGGATAATTCTGTTGGGAAGCTGTTTGGATATTTAAATGTGTTAAAACCCCTGTGACATTGGAAGCAGACCAAAGTATTTTATTTTAACATGCTTGATAGCTCTCCAGACCAAATGTAATGACTCAAGGCCATCTTATTCGGTAAAAGTTGATTGACGTTTTCGATACATTTGAAATGCTACATGGAGGTCGTTCATTTGAACACACTTTCAAAGCTACATGCCAAATATCATACCTGTGCCGTTTTCGTTAAAACAGTTAAACCAGTCGGACCTAGTATTCTGATGCTGCTTTCAGGTGAGCCTTGACAAAGCCTTGCAACATTTGCAGGTCTGCCAGGATTTATACCCGAAATTGTTCAATTTATAAACGAACAGGCCCCAGCTAATCATCATGGTTCTGTAGAAGTCGACATGTAAAGTAAAAGTTGATTACAAACAAATGCTGTGCTATTATATAACCTCACAGATACTTGGTTTAAGGTGAACTTAAACTTTTAAACTGTACTACAGACTTACTGATGACGTTGTTTAAACCAATAGCTTACCGACACAGCTTTTAAAGAATGAACGGTCTGCCAGTTAATTTCATCGAACAGCTTGTCTGTGACCTGCCAAAGTAAGAAAAGAACAAATTAATGTCAAAAGTTTCATTTCCAAGAATATATTTATATTTGTTTGTCTTATTCATAATCATTGAAGTGACTGCCTGACAGAAGACTACTGTTGATAACAACCACATGTAGAAATATACCTATTATAGTTTGGAAATTCCGTTCTGGGATCAAGTCAAATAAAACAGACTGTGCTGCTGAACTTCTGTGAAGAGCATGTGCCCAATGTAAAATAGTAAGTGTTCATCGTTTTTTAATCTATCCTAAATATTTTTTTATATGTTGATAACTTGAATTACCAGTATTCCAAAATGTCTGAATCTTAATTAACTTATCTGAATTTTAGCATCAAAACAGCTGACTAACTGTAACTAACTAAATCAGTAGCTTGCATTGAGACTAGAATGTATTCCGTCTTTGCGTATTGCAGAGTTATCTTCTCTTGTGAGCAGGTATTGATTGTTACGTCATTGGTTTGTGTGAGAAAATTACGTCGTTTTCTCAAAAATTGATGACGTTACTCTCACAAACCAATGACGTAACAATCACTACCTGCTCGCAAGAGAAGATAACTCTGCAATACGCAAAGACGGAATAGGAGGGACAGAAACACATATTTAAGATAACTTATTTTTAACACCACCAACTCACATCCTTTCCACGTGTGCTCTCTAGAAAAAGACGGAGATTCTGTATCGTCCATTTCCCACCATGCACTGCATTATACTCATCCTGTTATAAATAAACAACCTTTATTAGGGATACTTTTACGAGATTCAAAATTAAAATGTCTAATTAAAAGATTAATCATATTTTTAAATATATATTATAATGACATTCTGATCTCTGACATATGTTATCATTTCACGAACTAAAATTTCCAGAATCATGTATTGCTATAACCACATAAAGTGGAACCTTGTTATACTGCCACAATTTGGCTAATATTGGCATTGTAAAGGGGTTTGGCGATGAAAGGAGGGAATGTTGTAAAGATTTTTTTAAGAAAAAAGAGAAATTCAGACCTTTAAACAAGATGGTGGTTAGCGAGGTATCAAATGGAATGAGGGGAATTATATCAAGGTTTTACTGTATTTGTTTATGACCTCTATTTGCCAGATGATTTGCTGACTTTGCCAGAAAACAAGTCTCTATGACATAAGATCTGTAAAATGAAAAATCCATAACGAACCAATGCAATCATTTACGGATCCCCGTCTCACAGCCAAAAATTATATAACTATTTGGTGGGAAAAAAATATTTTCAGTTTGACTATAGCTTTGATAAATAATTTCTGAAATGAAAATCATTCCTAGCAGAACTTTAATGCAAAAATAATAAATTTGAAATAAGCAAGAAAAAGAATTAACAAGTGTTCTGAGCATAAAAATGCCATGAGACCAGACCAGATTTGAACCCGGGACCTCCGATCATTTTACTGTCGCTGTAACTAGCAGAGATACCCTGTAAACGATAGTACTCTGGCTCAGTTGTGCTACTTAAATCCAAAACAAAATCAAAGGGAGATTACTGCATCTATGGACAAGGGTACTGCAAAAGCAGAATATAATACCCTATCATACATCGAATGAGCAGTTGTCTGTATGGTTGTATATAAAGGGCCATAACTCCATTTATAAGGGTTGGACAATGGTGTTTATCAAACTTGTTAGAGCTATCATGATAATGAACCTTCCTATTCAGTTTGAAGTTAAACCATTGAAATCGAGCAGACACTGTTTTGGCAAATGAATAAAGGGCGATAAATCCATATATTACTGTCCGATAATTGTGGTTATCAAAATTATTCGAGCTATCATGGCAATGGACCTTCCTATGAAGTTTGAAGTTAAACTGTTGAAAACTAGGCGGGATATTGACCGGACAACATTCGCCCCCATCCGCCCGCAAGACAAAATAATACATCATATAGATGTTTGACGGGCGTAGAAAAACTACAGTGGTATTCTCTAGTGTTTTGCCCAGAGTAATACAGGAATCCTTAATTCTTTTACCCTGGACAGGTACATCCACCATTTTACCGGTGTGAGATTTTCTTATCTCACCCTAGGGTTGAGACAAGCTACACGTATGTTGTATGACGTCATAGCAACAATACAATGACGTCACGTCGACAATTCCGCCGCATCACATCAACATTGTCTTGCATTGATGTAACGTCTATATAACATACATAAGAGGGTAAACAGGGTAAGAGAAAAATAATCATTCACCCCCTTGGGAGTGAGACAAAGTGATCTCAACCCTCAGGGTAAGATTCTTAAGCTGTCAAACACTCGGCAAGCCTCGTGTTTGACAACTTAGGAATCTTACCCCTCGGGTTGAGATTACCCTGTCTCACCCCCAAGGGGGTGAAAGATTCTATTAATCATGGCTGGCTTACCCCCTGTTTCTGTATGGAGACATTGGTGAGATGAACAAACATATTGTCGAGTTCGTTGACACTGGCGTTGTACTTCACTGTACAGAACCGGGCAAACCCAAGTCTGAACCTGTCAACAAAAACCACCGAAAATAATAGGCAATTAAACATCCGATAATATCAAAATCATTAAAATTCAAAACATGTCATCATCAAAATGTGCCAATGATTTCAGACTTACATGTAACATTTGAGCGGGCGGAAAGATGTGACCAACACGTACAGACGCAGGTCAAACTTCTTGCCTCCAATCAGGAGTGGGTTGTCAATGTACTTGGAGATTACATAGGTGTCTTTGGAAGTTGGGGGTGTGAAACTGGACAAAAATATAACACAATATATATATATACCGGTCAACACATTTATCTTTAATTCTAAAATATTTATAGGTATTTGTACTCTATATGATAGCCATTTTGATAATTTTAAAAAAAAATATAAATTTTGTGGCAATATATTTTTTGGCTTTTGGATTCTGTGTGTGGTTGATTTTTTTTAATGATTCCTCAGCATTTTTGTCTTTACAAAAAAGTGTTGAAAATCCTACTTTTAGGCACCAAACTACTTGTTACTGAAACATCTACCTAATACTCACATAAGAAAATCTGTTAACGTCTACTTTCCTATGCATGTATTTCATGAATTTTGTCAATAACAGCGAGTCTGATAAACTGGTAACCTGGTCGTGCATAATGGAACCTGGATATTATAGACTTTTATATTCAAACCCTATCACACAAGTCTTAAATAACATGTTTCTGTATCCATTGAAACAGGAATTTCCCAGAAAGCATTTATTTTATTATTAATCACTGACTGCATTATATAATGACACTTTAAAGAACTATTATTTGAATTTTCCTTGACTCCATTTTATAATGAGACTTCATGTCAAATTATAATGAGAATTTAAAATTTCTGTTTTCAATAGAAACATTTTCATTAATAAGTTTGTCGGGAAAAAAAATATATCATAAAAACGGATGCCTTTTACACCGAGCCACAACAGTGTATATGTGCCTTTAAGTTGTCAAAAGCAGTCTAGCTATATGTGCTTGTGTCTATGAAGAAAAAAGTACACAATCCTATTAGTACAATCAGCTTAATTCATGTACAGGTGTTGTATAGTTATGCAATCATGTTTAGAACCTATCTTAGTCAGAGCAATAGCTGGTAGTGTTTTTTTTTTGTTTTTTTTTTTTCTTTTTTTAAGTTGTTTCCAAATCCTTAGAGCATGATAATTGATTATGCCCTATATATAGCTTGTTTCATATGTATTTTAAGCCAATAACCAGATTTAGATCTGTTATCAGTTACGGTAAGTTACGAAGGGACTGGTTCCAAGTTCTCTCTCTGGTTCACTGTCCTGGCAATCTTATTTCATTTACATTAGGTTAACCCTTTCACCACTAACACTGTGTACCATAATGGACTCATCCAGATCAAAGCAAGGTAGAGTTTACTTAAGTTATATAGGGGTGAAAGATTAAAAATACTTACTTGCTTGTTTTACTATCCCTAGACCATTTCTTCAGCTGAGATAATTTATTCACCAGGAAAATCCCAATGCCTCGAGCTGTGAAAAAATGAGAGATGGAGAAGCATTTTAAAATGTTATCAATTAGCCAAGAAAGGCTGCAAGGATTGGTATAAATCTAATTTCGCTCTTGATCGCTCCATGATATACACTAAGTATGAATAACGATTGATTAAATGTTTACAATTTTTAAAGAACTGATTGTAAAGGAAACATTGTACATACGAAATGTAGTTTAATTGGTAAATATATATTAATGAAATCCATTATTTTTTAAATCATCAAGTTTCCAAAATGGGTTATCTCCCTTCAATTATAAATATAAGTTGTTCAAGAAACAAACAAGGATGGGGAAACAAACTTTGAGCCTGTATTATTTCCTCTCCCAAAATATTATACCTTCACACTTTAGAGGTTTCAAAGATAATACAATTAATATTTTTAAAAATACATGTACTCAAATTCTATTGGCTGAATTTATTCTTTCCATAAAGATATGGGGGAAAAAAAGATAAAAAGTCCATGCCCATTAATCTTTTGAAAGTATGTTTTACAGGATAAGATTCATCCAGTTTTCATATTTTATTCTATATCTGTCTCCCTAATGATAACAATTTAACTTCTGGTTAATGTTTTATTAAATACATGTAGTAAGATAATTATCTTATAAAAATGTGTACGCATGGAGAGTTATTTGTTGGTTTAAATACTGACCCTTCCCGCAAGGTTTCATAATCCACGTTGTATTAGGATTTTTTCGAAATTCCTCCACAAACAAGTTGTAGTCTGCAGGTAACATGAATGTCTGTGGAATGAAGTCTGAAAATAAAAATAATCATTATCTGTTGAAATTTCACAATCGATAATTAACTAAATTATATTAACAGTTTCAAGTAGAAAATGTAATGAGGAAGCACAGTTTTCCACATTGAAACTGTAGATAAGAGAAGATGGATTTGAAAATTCAGCTGAATTATGGCTGAACTAAATGCTTTTAAAATATGTGAAAATAAAACTTTATCAAAATTTACAAATGTAATTTAATTGATCTGAACATTACCAGCATATTTACGGTAATGAAATATTTTCCATTGCGTGTGCATCAGAATCAATATGGAAGGTACACAGTTTACATACTTTCTCAAGCAAAGTATAAAGTTATAACTTTATAAACCCTGAGATTTTTCATAATTTTCTAAAAATTGTGCAAAAAAAATCACACTTTGTAGGTTTTTATCTGGTAAAACTTTTCAGCGTTTCGTATTTACAATTTAATCTACTACAATCTCTTTTACAAAAAATTCTTAACAAAATTCAGAAGCCAAAATACCCCTGAAGTATAATACATAATCTAATCAATATTTTATTCCTTGAATCAGTGAAGATGTAAGGAAAGCAACATAAATTCAGGAAGACAATTGGTACTTGTCTCGTAGCACCAATAAATATTAGGTGACACATATTTTTCCTACATTGTCATCGGTTGGATCAAAATCACGTAAATGTCAGTGATTTGTGATATTGACTCTGTCTTACTATTTTTAAATACAACAGGTCAATATTCATTTTATGACGTCATTTCAATTGCGAAATCACAATGCTTTCTGCCAAATCTCCGTACAATTTGCATATATTTTATCATTTTTTAATGGTTAAAACATTATTAAGCATCAAATTCAAGACTTTTATTTCAGTAAATATATGGTTACCGGTATATGAACCTGAAAAAGTGATATTGACCTCAAATTTGTCTCGGTCAATATTACAGTTTCTCAGGTCCATATAACCATATACTCACCTCAAAAAAGTCCATAAATGTTGGTAAGTATCATGAATCTTTAAGTCATTGAAAGTGTGAGGGTTTTATTTAGTTAAGCAACAGAAATTCAGGAAGAAAATCAGCACTGGTCACATACCTAAGTGAATGTAGCGCCCAAATTCGTCCTTCTCTGCTAGGGGGTTCCCTTCTTTGTCGAGATCCTTGCGGTATCGCTTGATGTTTTTCACCATCAGATCTTTTCGTGTTAACTCCACATGGTTTGGGAAATGATTTATGATTCTACAAAAGGTATGATGAAATGATGTGTTATGTCAAGTCATTGTTAATAAATGAGAAATGATTTATAATCATAATTATCACAAATCAACATTATTACAAATTTCCCAATACTATTATTATTGAGGATTTACATGTCTTCAATACTGCAATGTATCAAGCTTCATTTTGTAGTAATATTGAAGATATGTATTTTAACTCATTCACCCCTCAAAACACATTTGAACTCTTCAAATTCAAAGGTTGGAATAGTTCATTATAAAAGTTCAGGGGTGAATGAGTTAATTAATCAGATTGAGGTCTATAATTTTGATATTTATATTTCACATCTTTTCAAATAGTTTCATATATTATAAACTCTCATTTTCATCAGATTAAATAATACAGAGATATTGCCCTGAAGCTATAGCTATAAATAAAGTCTACTGTTGGGAATATAATGATGTTGACTAATGCAGTATATATACCTGGTACATATAATATTTATGGTAATTGTACACTGTAAGTATAAAATCAATGTTTCCATAGTTATCATCCTCAGATTTATACAGGATGTGGGTATCCTGAGAAATTTAAGTGTCAGACATGTACAATTTCACACAATGGGCCATAATTTATACACACACCAAGGATCAGCGCACATGTGTTCAAATATTTGTCAGCTTGCACACCTGGGAACTGATGTTTTCAAAAACATTAAAATTGGCATATAAACTATTATTTTTGCGATTCTTGCCATCAGATTTTCAATTGATTCCTGGTTTATAGCGAAGATTTGATTAATATTTTGCCACCTAACACTACAGTCTTACGGGTAAAATAAAACGTGATTTCTTTAGCAACAATTTCTTTGTGTGAAGCTGACTAGATCATTCAACAACGAGGCCAACATTTTCAAAATCTGTCAGCTTAAGTTCAATCTAATCAAAATATTAAAAAGTATCTCATAACTTAAGTATGCATTTTAGAAATTTTCTTTTAACTTATTTGAATATTACATATTATCAATTAATAATTCAATGGTTTTCAAGCTCAACAAACTTATATTTAGTGACTCAGATCAAAATAAACTCAACATTTTTTTTCTCGCGTAACTAACCAGTCTTTTTACAAATTAATCATGTGTATATATTTTGCATATCTGAACATAAGATGATTGAATGACAGTAAAAAGTGTATCAGAACACTGATTACATGGACACATATATTAATTAGTACATAATTATTAAATTACACCTCTGTGTGTATATATATATCTATGATAAAAGGACGTTTCCTGTATACAACAACAGTTCTATTTACGGTATTACCTTAAGCTACAGTTGATTCGGGATTGCAATGCTATGTGAATAATATATATACTGCACCTTACAGACTAGAAGAATTTGCCAGTAATATTTGACACTGAAATCGCCCACAGCAGAAGGATGGACAAATTTCCTTCAAATGCAGTAAGGCATACAGGTATGATTTCAAATGATCTACTTTTCAGAAACACTTACCACATACTTGCCATGCAACTCTCTCTATTTAGGAGGGAGACTCTCGATTTTGGACCCTTAAATTTAGCATTTTCTAACAGTGATTTAATTATTTCATCTGAACTTAAGAACTACGTACTCAAAATATGTCATTCAAAGGGTTATTTTGTCTATATTTGTATATCTGTATACACTCATTTTATTTATGTTATAATTTTGAGCATGCAGAATTTCCCCCATGGTAATTTCAAAAAGTTTGCAAGTATTCCTGTTTCTAATAGATACATGTAGATAGTTTTTTCTGATCCTCTTCATCAGACTTAAATACATATAGCATTATAGGTCCCAATTCTGAATGAGCCTAAATGTCCTTGTTTTCCCAGTGTCTGTATAGCCTTCTTTAAAATGACTTGATTGTTTAACAGTCACCAGAGACAATGGAATATTGTTCCTAATTTATAGGAAAGGTGTTTAGAATCGGTATCATTCTCAAATTAAAAAAATATCCCAGATTTAAAAAAAATAAAAAATATTAATAATAATTTGAGGTTCTTATATACCGCTTTATCACAACCTATTTCGTAGGTCGTCTTAAAGCAGTTCACAAAATTATTATCCATGGTTATAGGGCCTTTGCTACCAGCCAAAAACTCCCTGGGGAGCATACAGCCGGTGCTGCCATTACAGCGCTCACAGCTAGCATTCTACAATTCTAGCACTACCCAACCACAAACTCATTTACAGCTGAGTAGACTGGAACAAGCAGAGTAAAGTATTTTTCTGAAAGATTCAACACAGTGCCGTGTCGTGACTCGAACCTGCAACCCTTCGGTCACGAGCCCGGCGTCCTACCACTAGACTAACGTGCCTAATGGGGTTTAAGCAGTGGAATGGACGGGAGGGAGGTTAAGAATATTGGTCAAAATTGTACTTACTGGTCATCTGTGAGTCTGTAGCCAGAATCTATACTAAAAATGTTTCTAACGCTCTGCACATTGGCCCTGAAATAGAAATGGTATCAGGTAAAGGTGTTTAAATGACAATTACCAGTATTAAATAAATAATTATTCATGAATGATATTTATATAACATTTTCACTTCCTGAAAATGTGGATTTCATAAAAATAAAGTTTTGTTCATTTGGAGTTGTGTAATTGAGTATTGAAATAAAGGTTTGGACAATGTCTAAATTTATTGATATATTTTGATCATGAAATTTATTCATGACAAATAAGAAGTGCATAGTATAGTATCGACATATAATTATACATAAAACATGTATGAGAAATTTACTTTGTTGTTGCTTACAATTTATGAAATGCATTTATACCCTCCCTAGGGTGGAAACGGTGAACGAAATACACAATTTTGATAAAGCATATAGGATTTTGTTTTAACCATGGAAAGCATACCTACATAAGAATGATACACTCTATTAACTCATTCACCCCTACATATCTAAACTGGACTTGCCCAGTCTTTGATTTGGTGAATGGGTTAATCTAATTCAGGGGTTGCCACTAACACTAATCCTGGACTAGTAGATTTCAGCATGGACTAGTGAATCACCTAACCTAACTGGTCCTTTGGACTTGTGAAAAATATGATTATAAAATAAGAATATTTCTTTTTAAAATTTAAAATAAGATATATTGCATGATAATTGTCAAAATTTTCCTAAAACTTCACCATATTTTTATGGCAGTAATTATTTTAAGTCCCCTACAGTCGATTACTTTTGATGTTTTGTACTGTAGATCCCGATGTTTCTTTATCAGAAAACATTGGACTATTTACATTGACGAAGGACTAGTAAATAATCTATTCAACTAGTCCTGTGGACTACCAAGCAAAAAAAGTTAGTGTCTCCCCCTAATCATACTCTGGTACTCACCAATAAAAGTTCCAGTCGTCATCCTGACTCACAGGTATCCAACCCCGAGCTTCAAAGTTGTTTAACAGGACTGACTTGTCCATGTCACACGCATACTTCAACCTGGCCATTTTCTTTCCTTTAGTTCAGTGAATTTATGAAAAAGTCATTTCTGTATCTAGAAAAAGAAACACAAATTAAAGTAAAAAAATGTTATTGTTAATAAGAACATTACATTGCAATATTCTGAAATGAAACAAAAATATTTACACATGTATAACCCTTTCACTACTGTAGACCATAATGGACTCATCCATATCAATGCATGGCAGAGTCTACTAAAGTAACATAGGGGTGAAAGGGATAAGGTAGTACTGTAAATTTTCAACCTGTCTTTCCTCAATAGATTTGAATTATCTGATGAAATAAAGTTCAATCCAGCAGCAAAATAACTAGAGGCAACATTTTTTATTAAGACAATGTATGTCTACTATGTTATCATACAATGTTGATTTAAGTTTCTGATTTTAAACCATATACAGGTATTCATTGCACAACTATACACATGTAGTGGGTTGGGTCCATATGGCCAATGGCAATACAATTCAGTAGGTATCTGGAGTTCAGAGGTTTAATCATAAAATGTATAAAGAAAAAGATCAGGTAAAAGTCACAGAGATCAGGTAAAAAACTGGGATGAAGTCATATAGATCAGGTAATAGACTCAGGAATGTAGTCACAGGGATCAGGTAATAGACTCAGGAATGTAGTCACAGGTATCAGGTAATAGACTCAGGAATGTAGTCACAGAGATCAGGTAATAGACTCAGGAATGTAGTCACAGGGATCAGGTAATAGACTCATGAATGTAGTCACAAATACCAGGTCAAAAAACTATGGTGTAGTCACAGCGAGCAAGTTATAGACTCGGATGAAGTCACTGAGACTGGAATGTAGACACACAGATCAGGTAATAGACTGGAATGTAGACACAGGGATCAGGTAATAGACTGAAATGTAGACACAGGGATCAGGTAATAGACTGGGGTGTAGACACAGGGATCAGGAAATAGACTGGGGTGTAGTCACAGGGATCAGGTAATAGACTGGAATGTGGACACAGGGATCAGGTAATAGACTGGGGCGTAGTCACAGGGATCAGGTAATAGACTGGGGGGTAGTCACAGGGATCAGGTAATAGACTGGGATGTAGGCACAGGGATCAGGTAATAGACTGGGGTGTAGTGACAGGGATCAGGTAATAGACTGGAATGTAGGAACAGGGATCAGGTAATAGACTGGGGTGTATTCACAGGGATCAGGTAATAGACTGGGGGGTAGTCACAGGGATCAGGTAATAGACTCAGGAATGTAGTCACAGGTATCAGGTAATAGACTCAGGAATGTAGTCACAGGTATCAGGTAATAGACTCAGGAATGTAGTCACAGGTATCAGGTAATAGACTCAGGAATGTAGTCACAAATCCCAGGCCAAAAAACTATGGTGTAGTCACAGCGAGCAAGTTATAGACTCGGATGAAGTAACTGAGACTGGAATGTAGACACACAGATCAGGTAATAGACTGGAATGTAGACGCAGGGATCAGGTAATAGACTGGGGTGTAGGCACAGGGATCAGGGAATAGACTGGGGTGTAGGCACAGGGATCAGGTAATAGACTGGGGGGTAGTCACAGGGATCAGGTAATAGACTGGAATGTAGACGCAGGGATCAGGTAATAGACTGGGGTGTAGTCACAGGGATCAGGTAATAGACTGGGTGTAGTCACAGAGATCAGTTAATAGACTTTGATGTAGTGAAGGGGATCAGGTAATAGACTGGAATGACAATATCAGTGTTCTCATTAAAAGCGGGTTGTCAGCAAAATTAGCCTGCTATTCACCAACTTTGAACCTGGTACTTTTTCAGAATATGTATAGGTCAACATGATGGCATGCATGTGGACATTCAACCAGGTACCTTCATTACAAGTCAACCATCTATTTCAAATCTTAATGAGAACACTGGATATCAAACTGTTTTTACATCATAACTTAATAATAATAAACCGGTACATCAGGCATGATAACAGATCAGGACCCAGTACTTTCATAGGAATCTATCGATAGGCCTGGTTCTGGAACATTTAAACCTGTGGTATATGACATGAATTAGTATTATAGAGTACAATTTTTTCAGGTTCCTGTGGATTTTTCTTGATCTTTTAATGGCTAGAGCAAAGTTGACCAATGCCTGTATTCATGAAACTGTTTTCATGCTTGAGTCAAGTTTCTTGTTCCAGTGATAAATTTATAAATATTCACAATTTTCACCAATGATTTGGAAGAATTTTAGAGAGACTTTTAACCAAATACTGTGTTAAAAGTCTAGATGTAACTTTTTACAGTGTCAGAAGATAACAGCAGACGCAAGTTATTAGAAAGATATTTGAGCACAGAATCTATGCTTGAGCATGAGAACAGTTTCATGACTACAGGCCCTGGTCTCGATGACAGGGAATCAAGGTCAAAATCCATTGAATGTAAATTTATAGCAGCAGGAAAAATATCACTTGTATGACCAATTCAAGAATATGCCTGCACAGTCTGGTACTCTGTAAATGACATAGATATGGTAGAGGAAATGAAACAATGAAAAGCCCACGTTTTCATATAGGAGTGTGCTCTGGCCCCACACCAGACATCTATCTGTCAAAATGCCTAAGTCTGTTGCCAGGGCCAGAGGAAACTCTGATGTTATAGATTGTACAGAAAAGGGCAACAGACGCCATTTTGTAAAAGGAAGAGTGTAGTGTACTTATACCAGGGATCGAAACCAGAGAACCCCAGCTTAATGCCTAGTTTGTTGTTCTACCACCTGAGGAAGCTGGGCTTTACATGTTGTCCTTAGCCTGAGTTTCCTCTGGCCTTAACACCAGACTTAAGACATTTTGACATATAGATGTCTGGTGTTATGTGGGGCCAGAGCGCACTGCTATATGAAAACGTGGAATTCTCTGACACCGTTTGGCATCAGGGAGTGATCGATATCCATGACTATTCAACAAAAAGACGCGGTATGGAAATCTTCTAAACCAGAATAATATATTCAGTTTTCGGTCCGGATCAGTACGGTTTGATTATAGTCGCCCCTGCCATGACCTACAAAAATTGCATTCACTGAGGTGGGAAATTTTGAGCAATTGAAAATTGAGGACACTACTGACAGAATTTAGCAGTTGTTGGTGATAATAAGAGCTGATTTGGATCAATAAATAACCATTTTGTTGATATATATGTGTGTTATGTGATGTGTCATTGCAGATTTTTGTTGCCACCACCTCATAACTCTCCGATACCAAACAGTGTCGGAGAATTCCACATTTTCATATAGCAGTGCGCTCTGGCCCAACACCAAACATCTATATGTCAAAATGTCTAAGTCTGGTGTTAGGCCCAGAGGAAACTCGGGCTAATGTTGTCCTCTAGTCTCATCATGCAAGCTGGCAGACATGTGCCCTACAATTTTTTTATAAGATGCCAAAAAGAGAGTATATTTCTTGATTCGGCGTTGGTTAATAAAGAACACCTAATATTCCTCTCATGACCTCACATAATAATTTACAAATGTAGCAGGTGCCCTTGCCTTGCTGGTCAGAATATAATCAATAGTCACAAAACGACCGTAGAAAGTGTTAAAACGATAGCTAGTGATAAAATTAAGATTTAGTTATTCGTTTTGGATGCAATATAACATATATCTGTTCTGTTGGTGACATTATCTTCAAAAAACGCCTGAGAATTATACTTACTGTATCCACTGCAATATTGACACCGGAAGTAGTAAAGGCGTCCTCAGCAACTACTGCCTCGCACACAATTATTTTTTATAATACGCTGTAAAATATTAACTTGAAACTTAAATGTTAAACATAGTTTTGAAAATAAGATGTGGATGTATGAATGCTTGAATATTGAAAACACTAAATTTCGCAAATTTGTAGCAAATCTCGTTGGTCACGTTATTTCATATTTCTAAACATCAAACATGGCTGCCGGTGGAATCAAGGATAAAGAATCTCCCATAAAACAACGAAAAACGTTTACAGGTATCATCCCACCTAGTCCTCTCGGTGCTACACCAAGGCCCCACCTTCCACAGGTTTACAATCGACGGTATACCGGGACATTCGTGTCCGAGTATGCAATAAGTGAGTCATACTAAACGTTTGACTGTCCGAAAGAGTCGTCGTGTCAACATGTCATAAAACATACATGTTGTGCGTTTTAGTCAATGTTTTGGTGTTTAGAAGTTACTATATTAACACTTATCTATACTAACTCCCATGTTAACGTACTAAGGTATGACTTCTGAGCTTTTACTAACCCTTTTTAACCATACTATTACGTTTTGTTTATAATATACACACTATATATAGTGTATGTTGTTTTTGTTTTTATAATTTGGCGCCTCAGACTATGACCGATATTATCTGATTGTTGATAGCACGAGTTAAAGTCCTCGTGGAAAATTCAGATATTTATCCAGTACGGGTGCACAAGCCTTAACTGGTCAACTTGTCAGTGTTTCCGCTTATACATTGATTTCTTAGATTTTTTCTCTTAAAAATTTACCATCTAATCAACAGAAATAGTTCTCCACATATTATTTCACATTATTTCTTTTGTTTATTTCAATTTTAGTATTTTGTTTTGCGTTGCCGTTTTGAGAAAATGAGTTTTGATTTAATCATGGATTTTAAGATATCAACTGTCCCTGGTAAATCTTGTATGGACCAAAAACCTGAATCAGGCCTTTAAACTATAAAGATATGTAACATTATTTTTTTTATAAGTTTGTTGTTGATATACAAACATTGTATATATATCAACAACAAAATTATATAAAAAAAAATTAAAAAAATCTGATATAATTTCAAGAAAACATTTTCTAAATATGACACTTTTGAATGAAATCATAAAAGTCTCTCATAATTTAGAAATCATCAACAATGTATACCATGCAAGGGTATTTCAAGGAAGTATAAAATATAACTCATTCATGTTAATCTTATTTTAACAGAACGAAAATACATTACTGTGTGAAATTAATGTAAATAAACGTTACCTAATGAAGCAAGTTTGAATCAAGTTTCTATTAGGTAAAAGCTTTCTTTATTTGATCTTGACCCCAAGTTCCAAAAACAGATTTCACCCAGATTCATTCAGGTGTATCATATTTGATATGCATATACCTGGTACTATACATATATACCATGGTCAAGCGGTGTGGCACATACCAAAATGAGGTCACCATGGACTTTAACCTCTGTTCTTTACAGTTTCCTTAGAAACATATGGGCTGCTCAAGTACAAAAATATTCAATTCATAATAGTGTCATTGTATTACATGAAAAAGGAGATAAATAATAATTCTGCATTTTGGGGGGTAACACAGAAAAGTCCTTTACTCAAGTGAAACTACTATAGGATATAGCTAGTGGTTTTATGGCGTTATGATTCATTGATCAAATTGCAAGTTAAACCTTATCAAGATGTCAGACCTACAAGAAAAATAATCATGTCCCCGCTGGAATTATTCTATTAATCCATCAGTGTACATAATGCAGAGGATATTGCACATCTTCACCACCTCCATAGTTTCTCGTTGGATTTTCTGCATTATATACATATACTGCATTTGACCAAATTTTCTGTCCACGTTTTGTACATTAAAACATTGATACAATGTTTTACCAAAACAGTCTATATACCCGGTACCCTGTATATGACTTGCATATTTCCTGCAAGCTGATCATGATTGGCTAAATATATAAGGCCAAACAAAAATTACGTTTGTTTCAGGTAACATGACTGAAAAAAATAGGGTAGGTCGGTAGGAAAATAATTTTATTTTAATGTTAATTCGTTATTTTTGTGAATTAATATATTAGGCTCTATTTCAAACTTTACAATGCATTTCCACACATTACAATGGATATCAATTTGTCAAGAATAAGGTCAAACTCCCAGGACAGGAAGAAAGTACATTTTAATGAGTGGTTGTGAACTTTGCCTGGCTAATAAATTTATCTTAGATACAAGTAGGTGATCTAGGGTCGAGAGTAAAATCTAGGGTAGGTAGCTATAGTGATATCTGAAACAGGTATTGTTTTTGGCCTAAGACCTGTACGTAATCATGACATTAAATTGACCTTGGGACACCTGATCGTGGTTGATAAAACATTATATCAGCATGAGTATGTACCCCAAAAGAACACACATTGGGATTTCCTCAGGATCTGGATTTTTGAAGTTATCATGTGAGCAGAAATCTTATTTCTTTAGTATGTTTTAATTTTTCATGAGCTATTCTTATCAATACTGAAAAGCTTTTTCAACTTATAAAGAATGTATCATGAGTTTGTATGTTGAGCATCATATAAAAAATAATTATTAACCTCTTGCCTTGGAAAATATAATATTCATTGGGTTGGCAAATCTATGTATGGACCTCAAGAGATGTTAATAATTACATAATGTTCTGAAATATTGCATTGGTCTTTATGTATATCGTATCAGCAGACATGTTCAGACTTCCAGATCCTATAAATAAGAAAAGTGTCATATGTGTGAAGGAAGCTGTCTGACTGAAGAAAAAAACCAATCAGACAATGTTTGAAAATAAAAATAAATGGATACAGGAACAATTTGGAATTGAAAATAAGCAAATTAGCCTTTTCACCCCTATGTAACTTTAGTAGACTCTATACCATGCATTGATCTGGACGAGTCCATGATGGTCTACAGTGGTGAAAGGGTTAGGTATATAATGTATTTCTCTAAATTTCCGCTGGGAGTTTCTCATCGATAGAGCAAATTCAGTCAAATAGAAGTTTTTCAGTTTTTCAAGTCAGATTCACTTCCTCTTGATATTATAGTCGATAATTAAAAACCTTGTATCTCTTGTGCCTCTACTTTCTTCTTACACTTTTTCTTGTTTGTTTTGTAACTAATTGTCATAATCTGATACTGTTCGGTATGTACAACATATTATATTTTAGGTATAAATTGTTTTATAGTTGAGATTCTGCCTTGGGCTCTAGATCTATACCTAGATCAAGATCTACAAGCTGTCAACTTGTCGTCAAGTTTGCAAAGATTGGTGCCTCACGTATATCTGCATGTACTAGTCTAGCTAGGTCGTCAACTTTATATGTGATCAGGAAAAGAACATAGTGTCAAAAAACTAGTGATGGCATGGGCTGATGATGGATTATAATCGAAAAGTTATCAGTTTGTCCTTTTCGATTCCAATTATCGATTATAAATTCCATTATCGATATAATCAGGTCTTCATTAAAATCAAAGTGCTAAATGTTTTCAATTTAAAAAATGTATTGAAAGTCATATATTCTTACGATTTTTATTATATGATGGATAAAACTGCATAAAAATTGCTTGAAATCCATTCATTATAAAAGAACAAAATCTAATGTATAGTTATGATGTTATGGTGGTTTTCTCACTTTATTTGGATATTCAGTCCCATCAAATTGTATATTATGAACCGATTATGCAATTGATCATCGATCAGTTTACTACTTTCGATTACAAACCGATTGCCCATCGCTACCAAATACACTGGTCCTTTGCAATTTGGGCAAGTGGATTACAAAAAGTCACAGTCAAAATTTATCATACACTGGTACATATACGTACATGTACATTCGTGGAATTAGCCATTATAGTCTTGTAACAGAAACAAACCTATAGGTGATACGTCAGTATGATGTGATATATAGAAATATTGAGTTTAAAAAAAACCTGGCACTGATCATGACTGGTCCCCAGGGCAATTCAGTAGACATAAATTCCACTTGCCTGCAGATCAAATTTACATTTACATCTACTAGCCCCGGGCCATCAGAACTTGGATTTGTCGACTTGCCCTGGTAATTTCAGCGCATTAAATCTGAGTTTGAGTTGTACTTTGACCTAAAAATTCTAGATTTGGAAATAAATGCGAAGTTCCGTTTACATCAAAATGTACTTGAAACACAAGGTACTATTGGAAGTTGATAATGTAATTTTGAGTGATTTGTGATGTTGTATATCCTTGTCTGACTCGTGCTCATTTCCTGTCAATCTTATAACTTCCTCATGTTATCATCATGTTGCTGTCCAGTTTTGATCTTCCTGCTAGCCGTGTGTCCTGATGGCTGGTCTCCCGACTCGCGTACAAATACACATGTGCATATACGGGTACATATTATAAACACACATATATGCATGTATATTTTGCCTGAAGAAGGGTTGACCGAATCCTTTGCTTGAGTATATATATATGTATAACATGGCAACTGCTACTGTGAAAGGTAGATATTGACATCTGTCATTAGTTTTCCTTCAATGCTTCCTGCACTTAAATGTCTTACAGCAGCAAAATGTTTTCACTTCTCCTGATCTTGTTTTGAATTTCAATAACTGCATATGTAAATTAAAGTTACGAGATATTATTGTATAATAATATTGTATGTCATCTGCTAACGATTACGTATGAATTTTCCAAGTACATGTACTTTATATGGATGTATCCCTCCCTACTGGAGAAAAACTTGAATCTACATATTTTATACATTTGTATATACATTTATAATAAAAAATTAAAGTACTTGCCCGTGAACAGATTTTCAGTTGTAAATGATACATATGAAAATATTGTTTTTGACAAAATCATTTATTTACCTTCTGGTACAAAATGCGTAAGATTATATTATTATTTATCAAAATGTTACTGATTTGTTAGCTTTCACGCTAAATTGGAATGTTTTGATGTTTTTCAGATGACTGTGACCGTAAATTCACGCAGATACGAGAAAAGAGTGAAGCGGAGGGTCACAGTAGCACAAAGTCATTCGTCATACTCGGATTCATCTTTTTCGCCTCCATACTTGCTTTGGGCATTGTTTACCTTAAGTTCCCCAACCTTGCTGAGTGAGTAGTTTTTCATGGTCCTCTCACAGAGTGGTTTTATCACTGTAACAGACCAGAGAGTTTACAGGTTTGTAGTAAACACACCCATATATAGACATATACATTTAGTTTTTATAAACGAAAATATGATACAAAATATAATATCTTTTAATCGTTTATGAAAGATGGCATCCACTGAGAAAAAAACGGTCCATACTTGCCAACTCTCTCACTTTTGGAGGGAGACTCCCGATTTAGGACCCTAAAATTGAGTATTTTCAACCAGTGGATTTGCTAAACTAATCCTATTTTCTAAGATCTGCTAATTTCAACTGAAAGATATGCTCAAAAGATGCTATTTGAAACACACATTTTATTTATGCTTTTAATTCTGAGCACGTGAATCTCCCCATTGAAATTTTAAAAAGTTTGCAAGTATGAAAACCCTGTACATCAGGAGTGTATGATTCAGATTTAATGTACTACCCTGCTGACAGGCTGATCAATTCTACTTTTGTCTGACCTATAATTTAAGATTGTTACAGGCACTGACTTAAAATTTACTACATTAGCTAGAGCTCTGATCATGAGAATCGAGCTATTTGAATGGTATACACCCCTGTACATATTATAGTCATTTGGCTTAACTGTGTTCAACTGGCCTCTTCATTTCCTGGACAGTGACTTTGTACATTATAATGTCGAAACATTACTTATATTTATATTCAATATCCACACTGCATGTAACTTAAGTCAGTAAAAATATCATTATACATCATATTTTTTAATAGCCGATGATCATGAGGTATTGATCACAAAAAGGTCTTGTAAGGCCAAATTTAAAAAAAATCATGTATTTCCACTAACACTACATACCTTATATTTTTGTGCCTATCCTTAAGTTTTTAACGGCATTTAGTGATATACACTTTTAAAGTTAGAACTCCTGCTCCATATAAAGATTATAAAAATGTTTTCCAAAATAAAAAATAATGCCTACCTTCCTACCTACCCTATTTTTTCTGAGGATGATATATATATATATATATTTTTTTTTAAATTGCCTAAAGGTTATATATGATATGATTTTATTAACCAGGATAGTTATTACTTATCAAACAATTGATTAAGATTTGTTTAAATTTAAACTTCATATCATATTGGAAATGTTGATTTTAATACTAGGATTTTCATTCTAGTATTTGTCTTACACTCAACAGTTAAACTCCTTAATATTTATAAGATAAACCGCCAGAAGAAAAATAGAAAAGGTTTCACAGAATATACATTTTATATGTTGCTTTGAATTATTAGTGTTCCTGTATTCCACTTACTTGTAATACTTTAAATTTTTGGCAAATTTCCTAAAAATTTACTGATGATTTGGTTTGTTGGTGTTTTACGTCCTATTAACAGCTATGGCCATTTAAGGACGTGTTAGGTTTTGGTGGTGGAGGAAAGCCGCAGTTCCCGGAGAAAAACCACTGACCTGCGGCCAGTACCTGGCTACTGGCCCACATAGGCCTGGAAACCCGCGACCCAGTGGTGGAGGGCTAGTGGTAGCAGAATGTCAGATGCCTTAATTCACCACTTGGCCACCACAGCCCCTTTTACTGAAGATGTAAATGTTTTCAGATTGATACTGGCAATAAGATATCAAGGTTCAAACTTGTTGTGATATTTCATACTTTTTTTTTCAGAGATGAAAAACAGTATATAAAACTTCCTAGAAATATAGAAGACGCCAAGAACTTAGGCAACGTGTTGTCGCGGTATAAAGAGGACCATTACTACCAGGTGTTGGGCGCGTATTTTATTGTATATGTATTGTATCCTTTTTGATATACACTAAAAAGTGTATTTGAATCATTTTCATTATTTGAAGATAAGTAAGAAAATAAAGACAGAGATAATTTACCATGTTTGAAACCTTTAAAATACTTACACATTTTATAAGGAAACTATTGTATTTTTTTGTGCTTTAAGATCTTCAACACAAATTTCTTTAAACAGTATTTTAGCTCACTTACTGAATTTGGTTTAGTTTCTGAAGATTTGTAACGGATTCTTCAGCAAGGATAATGTGAAAGTTTATGGGTTTTTTTTAACTTTGCTGTTGATTTGGGGGGGGAGGGGGGGGGGGGGCAATTTAATGAGATAGCTAAAATTGGTGTCACCTACAAAAAAGCCCATGGTCTAGTTATTCTGTCTTTTCGTATCGCAGAGTTATCTGCTCTTATGAGCAGGTATTGATTGTAACCTCATTATTCTGTGTGTGAAAATTACGTTGTTTTCTCAAAAATTTATGACATTACTATCAAAAGCAAATGATGTTACAATCAATACCTGCTCACAAGAGCAGATAACTCTGTAATATTCAAACGGAATAGTCCTGAGAAGGTACCACAGATACCATATGTGGATACTAAGATTATTTGTTCACCTGCTTTTCTCCGAAAATTTCAATTTCAACTAAATTGGTATGGACATATACATAATGGCAACATCTGAAATGTGTCCTGCAAGCAGGGGATATAAATTCCATGAATTTGCTTGTCAAGTTTGATCCAATAAGCAAGGGAATTCTAGCTATAGTGGTGATCTCTGTGAAGTCTTATAATCATTCCAACATATGAATACATGTAAAGAAAAGCTACATATTACATTTCCTTAACTTGTCTTTCAGTTTACAGTCCTTTGCTATACCAGGGTCCATATTCCTCAGTATATTGTCAGGTTTCCTGTTCTCATTTTCTTTAGCACTGTTCCTTGTATGTTTGGTAAGTAAGTTTACTATCTATTTATATTATCAATCACCCTTGTAAGGTGAGTAACTCAGGTTTCCTGTTCTCATTTTCTTTAGCACTGTTCCTTGTATGTTTGGTAAGTAAGTTTACTATCTATTTATATCATCAATCAACTGTGTAAGGTGAGTAATCAGAACATAATGTAAATTGTATATTTCTCGTAAACTGCTATAATTAGCTCATTCACCCCTGAAGACACATTTGAATTCCTCCAATTCAAAGGTTGGGAAAGTTCATTATGAAATTTTAGGGGTGAACATGTTAACTGCCCTGTTGAATCCTTAATGAGGAAGTGACACCTGGCATACCGGTAAATGTCCACATTGATACGTCTGGTATCAACATCAATTTCTGAAAGTGGATATTTTTTTCATTTACACAATGTTAACTTTGTTTTCAAATCTCTTAGTTCAGTTATTGAACAAAAATGCAATCAGTCCAAGACCTACCAGTCAATCTCCTCACACATATAAATATTTCTGTTTTGTAGTATTTTAAAGAAGGAAGACATTAACGCATTTACCCCTGAAATTTCATAATGAACTATTCCAACTTTTGAATTGGAAGAGTTCAAATGTGTGTTCAGTGGTGAATGAGTTAAACATTGATGTTATCAATAATAGTGTTCACCTAGAAAAAATTGAGATACATTGCATTAATATTACATGAAGTTGGTAATTAAATTTCCTGTTTAATAGTTTGCTTGAATTTTTAACATTAATTAAAAATGTGAAATAAATCATGTACTTGTTTTTTTCCAGTGTTCTGCTTTAGGTGCATCCTTTTGCTATCTACTGTCCGATCTAGTAGGACGACGACTTGTACAGAAATATTTTCCAGAGAGAGTAGCTGAATGGCAATCTCATGTAAGTTAATGTATATATAAGTAATAATCTTAGAGGGACACTGAATGGCAATCTCATGTAAGTTAATGTTTATATAAGTAATAATCTTAGAGGGGCACTGAATGACAATCTCATGTAAGTTAATGTTTATATAAGTAATAATCTTAGAGGGGCACTGAATGGCAATCTCATGTAAGTTAATGTTTATATAAGTAATAAACTTAGAGGGACACTGAATGGCAATCTCATGTAAGTTAATGTTTATATAAGTAATAATCTTAGAGGGGCACTGAATGGCAATCTCATGTAAGTTAATGTTTATATAAGTAATAATCTTAGAGGGGCACTGAATGGCAATCTCATGTAAGTTAATGTTTATATAAGTAATAATCTTAGAGGGGCACTGAATGGCAATCTCATGTAAGTTAATGTTTATATAAGTAATAATCTTAGAGGGGCACTGAATGGCAATCTCATGTAAGTTAATGTTTATATAAGTAATAATCTTAGAGGGGCACTGAATGGCAATCTCATGTAAGTTAATGTTTATATAAGTAATAATCTTAGAGGGGCACTGAATGGCAATCTCATGTAAGTTAATGTTTATATAAGTAATAATCTTAGAGGGGCACTGAATGGCAATCTCATGTAAGTTAATGTTTATATAAGTAATAATCTTAGAGGGACACTGAATGGCAATCTCATGTAAGTTAATGTTTATATAAGTAATAATCTTAGAGGGGCACTGAATGGCAATCTCATGTAAGTTAATGTTTATATAAGTAATAAACTTAGAGGGGCACTGAATGGCAATCTCATGTAGGTTAATGTTTATATAAGTAATAAACTTAGAGGGACACTGAAGGGCAATCTCATGTAGGTTAATGCTTATATAAGTAATAAACTTAGAGGGACACTGAAGGGCAATCTCATGTAAGTTAATGTTTATATAAGGAAAACATTTAGAGGGACACTGAATGACAATCTCATGTAAGTTAATGTTTATATAAGTAATAAACTTAGAGGGACACTGAATGGCAATCT